CATGGTAAATTCCTACCTTCATAGAACAATTCTTGCTTGTCTTTAAACTATTTTCTGCATGTACTGTAGATGCACCATAGTGGCACATGTGATCAAATATTTCTTACTGTAGTTGTCCTTGAAGTAAATAAAAATAACAGTAAAGATGCTGGACTTAATTTTGTTTTTAGAAATTTCCATATTTTTAAAAATCAAACTTTAAATTTTTTTTTTTACCCTCAACAAACCAGCTTCTTCTGCAATTAATATTCTACTATTTGGAGAGTTTATCTATTCTGTTATCAATCATAAACAACTTGCACGAGTATGTAAAATTTAAAATCAGGAAATGCTAGTCTATCTCTTTCTTCTGAATCTTGCAAAAGATTTGTTAATTATTATTACAGCTTCCTATTAACTGAATTTGGAATATGTGCCATTTGAAATAAAAAGTTCACATTAGGCAATATATTCATTTTTACTATAAGTCCTAGCCAAGAAAAAATTAAGATCTTTCATGTTCTAGATATCTTTTTTCTTTCCATAAATTCTTACAATTGTTCAGAAATACAGTATGCCTTTATTGCATCCTGCATATAAAATCCCCAAATTTCACTGTGTTTTTGTTGTTGTTTATTATCAGTCAGACTCTTTTATCCCAAAGTCTTCTTGTTCTGGTGTTAAATACCTTGTTATTATTTTTGTTTTCTTTTCATTGATTTAGTATTCAGAGAATTCAGTGATGTTCATCAACTGTATTACAGTGCTCTGTGGGTTTATAATGAGTAATACTATATCATCTGCAAAGCATTTCAATTTGTATTCCTCTCTGAATTTTAATCCCAGATATTTGTTTGTTGAATCCTTGGTGCTCTAATTGCTTGCTTGCAGATGTTTCAATACCCAACTGGGTTTGCTCCCTGTTTGTATACAGTAGTTTGCCCTGCCGGTGTTAGTGGGGGTGTAGTTTTCGCCCTGGTAGTTTCTTGATTAGGGTTTGCTTTTCTGCTTGACTGTTTGCTTGATGTTAATCCCTGCTTATCTGGGTGTTGTCTGCTGGAGAGAATGTCTTCTGTTTTTCTTTCTTTCTTAGCTTTTCTATTGTCTCATTTCAATGATGTGTAAATAAAGTTTATTTAATTTTTAAAATTTATATAGCCAGTGGCCATCCATCTCACAAAACAAGTGACTATGTTAGCTGATTTGTTTGATAGCGAAGCTTCCAGGAATTCCTTAGCATTTTGGGATTTAACTTGGCCTAGGATGCTTACAGTCTCCTAGTTGAGTGTTCCTATCCATGTGTTGTGAGATCAAGCAGTTTTCTTTGTGTCTTCTGGCTGGCTGTTAGTATTCATGGATGCGCTCTGCCAGTCTTCTGTCTCCTACCTAATGGCTGTTACAATCCTTACAGTGTATGTTATAGATGATTCCCATTTTTTTCTTATTGGAGTACTGGGTCTTTTGATTTACTTAGGATGTTCTGGAGAGATTCAGTTGCTTTGTGTGTTATGATGATGCCTTGTGGTTGAAATAGTGTATTGGTTTGTCTCTGAGATATTTTTGATGTGTAGTGTTATCCTTTTCATGGCTTGTATTAGGCACTTCTTGATAAAGTTCTGTGGGTATCTGTTTTGCTGGAAAATGTTGTATAGCACATGTTTTCTTTTTTCTGATGTTCTGGGTTACTGCATGCATTTATAGGTCTGAATAATATTCCTACACAGCTCCTCTTGTGGGAAGTTGGATTGCTACTTTGGTAATGGAGCACTTGGTTACTGTAGGTTTTTGATACATTTGTAATTGTAGCTGTCTTTACTGATGAGGATATCCAGGAAGAATAGTGTATTATTATTTTCTTCTTTCCTTATACATTTGAAGATGTTGACTGTTTCATGTGTCTTCTCTAGTTGTTCCTTTCTTTGTCTTTTTGAATCTTGTCTACTTAAATTTATAAACAATTCTAAATAATAAGGAAAAAAGTATAATTCTTGCTTAGTGCCTTTGCTTTTTAGGAAACTTGGGAAGAGTATTCCAATGGTTATGTTTGCTGTTTGCAAACCTTTTCCATCCAAGTCTTAAAATCTTCTCTTGCATTCATTTAACTTAAAACAGCTAATAAAAAAGAGCACTGCAACTTGTCAAAAGCATTTTTTTGCATCTAAAAATACTATTGTCATTTTCTTTTTTTACTATTGATGTGCTTAACAATTTATTATAGAGCTGCTGCTGTCCATCATTTTTCTCTCAGGAATATAACTTGTTTGGTTCATATGTTATTATTTCTAAAATATAATTCTTCAAATGTTCAGCTACTATTGTGGAAAATAGCCTGTAATCAATATTCAGTAAAGATCTTAACTGTTAAACATGTGAGTTGTTTAACTCAACCATGTTTGCAGTGCTGAATTAAGATTGTTTGCTGACTTTTTGAGTAATATATGTTTTATCTTGAACCACAATATGGCTGATAGGCATAGGATGGTTATGTTTCTATTGAATTTAGAAGGTGTTTTTATTTGGTTCATTTATTTTCTTGTATGCAATTTTTAATTTAATATTGATGATCCTTGCTTAATGAACACTTTTTCAGCAACTGACTTACAATGGCACTGAATGCAGTCACTTAATCGCCATTTGTGACATTTGCCAGCTTCTGTCAAGCAAATGACATGTGACATCCTTGGTTAACAATGTGTGATGATTTGCTTAATGACAGCAACTGAACATGCCAGAATTTCCATCATTGTGAGACTATCTATAGGGTAAAAACAACCCCAAAATGTATTCTGAATTTTGAGTTCTTTTGAAAAATACAATTTTTCTCACAAGTATGATAAAAAAATCTTGAGGCTAAAAAAAAAAAAAGAATGTAGGAAAAACGAAACTGAATTGTCTGTATTGGGTTTTTTTCCATTTATTTTCATTGCAAAACTTGCTCACTACTATCTGACAGGCCAAAAATGTGGCAGCAGCTCTAAATCATATTCAAGTAAAGTTTTTTCTTATGAAATACCCTAAAAACCATATTGGTTTCTGCCTAAATGGATAAATAATCTCTCACTTTTCAAAGTAATGACATATACTAATAATGATTTAAGAACCTTTGATGCTTAAAACAGGAATGATAGCAAGAAATTGGATAGATATTTTGTTTATCACTGAGCACTGTCATAAGTCATAAATATGTGTACACATAGAACCTGTGAAGGTCTATTTAATCTAGTTATTAATCCAAAATTTCATGCTCTGATCTTTCATCCATGTTCTCTTTGTGCTTGTGAAGCTTGCGAATGTGATGTGGTGAGAAGAATGTGTTAAAGAGGCTGAGAAGAAGTAAAGTATGAGAAGACAGTTTCTAAGAGCAACCAAAACATTGCAGATGCTGTGCATGACCACTAGTTTCTAGACATTCAATACTTTCTAAAAGTGAACTGGTTCCTAAACTCCCAAGTTCCTAAGACAAGCAAGACAAGCAATGAAAGTAACAGGGCCTGCATGAAACAAGGGCTCTACATGACTGAAGGTGGGATGTTCCATTGGGCAGACTCTTGATGGCTAGAGACCAAGAGTTTATAAAGCATTTTAGCAGAAGGGGGGGGGTGGCAACCTGTCCACATTATCTACCTTGTCTAGACCCTGAAATTTCCTCTTCTCCAGTTCAATAATGTTTCAATATATTCCATCTCTGCTAATATGATACCGAAATATGTCTATTTTTGAAAGTTACATAAATAGTGATTTAACTAAATTCTCAAATTTCTTATATAGAGTTTACACATGTTAAAATCAGAGCCATGCCACAGTTTTCTAGCTCACAAAGTCCCTATATCAGCCTAGTTTTGCTTGATTTACCACCACAGGAACAGACTAAATACCTCAGAGTACAAATGAGGTTAATGTGACTGGTTCTCAACAAAACCCACAACCCCATTTCACAGACAAAATTGGCGAGGTACAAATAAACACCTGAAAGGACACCAGAGGGGGTCAGATGTAAATCTGGATGAGCCAGAAATATTGCAATTCTCAAGTTTAAGCAAGGGACCCAGAAATATCTATGACCCAAGGTATCAGTCAAGAGTGTAACCAGTCTTCTGCTCCTTTGTAAAGAAAGGCCTTTTGAGGCTTTTCTGTGTACTTAAGATAAATGATGAACAGTCTACTGACAAATAACATACAAAATGCCTGGCCAAAGAAGAGGTTTAAAAAAACAAAGATATTCTGTAATAGGAAAGGACTGCTTATCATCAGAAATATTTAAGAAATTCAGATTTTTGGTGTCCATGTGATGAGCATACCCTGATGGTTTTATACGGTAATGTATCTAGAGATCTACCATATTTTAAAGATATCCTGCCAATACATGCAGATAAAACCATTCATTAATAAATTCATGCTGCCAAAGGTAGGCTGGAGACTAAGATTCAGTACTGTTGTGCCCATTCTAAAGAGGAGGCAAAATGAGGTCTAGCCACCCCTTGAAGAGCAGTCCAATGTTAGTTCTGGAGACAACAGTTCTCAGTATATGGATGTGACACTTCTTCAGCACTCAATGTCATTTTATTGCTTTCAACACACAGAATACAATTTCTGTCCCATTTAACACATTAGTGGGCATTGTGGAATATAATTCACAGCTGTCAAAATGTTCTAATAAATGTCTAATTATGAGTGATAAAATTTGTTATCAATTATTCACCATGTTTTGGAAATTGGCTCAAAGCTCTGTTGATTAAAAAAGTAAAACTAGTGTAGAGATTGAACTGCACTGCTCCCTTGGCACAATTTTTACTTAGTTTCATGTTTTGATATTTGTAGGTTCCATACTCTCTTAATCTTGGGCACATTTTGATTCTTCTAAAATGGAAAATGGTTTTTCCACACAGTCTATAAACTTACCTTTACTAAAATGCCTTTTGTGTCTATTTATTTATGGTTGTCTCTGTTCAGTGCATATTTCCTGCTACTAGTTTTTCAGATTCCCCTCCCAAACCACAAATGGGACACAAAATGAAACTCACACTTTTCCAGTGCCATAACTTTTGTAGTCTACTACTGCCGAAACAGCTACAATTACAGCAGGCATGCCATAGCCAACCAAATAGAAGTATTTTCTACGTGAATGTTCGCTCTCGAAGACTTCCACCAACATTATGTAGAGCTGTACTCCTTCCAAAAACATCCAAGTGAAAGCAGAGAGGAAGAAGAAATGCAGGAGAGCGGCAAACACAGCACAGGCTATCTGGGAGAACAAAAAAGACAAAGTAGAACAGTAGTTATGTGTGTATGTTGATTAAGGGTGGGTGCAAATTATGCAGATAGATGAGCCTTCTGCTGTTTACATATTAAACTTGAAGTATAAACATATGAATGGATCTTGTGATTTACTTAGCCTTTTTTTTCAGGATTCAACTATTTAATTATTGTTGTAAAGAAAAATGCCAACATACCATTATGATGTTTTACACATGTGTATTTGATACAGTATCAGACTAAACTACTTGGTTTGTTTAGATGCAAATGCCAACTCACATATTTACATGTGTTCAGTTGGATTTTGGAATGAGTAATCTTTTTAAAATTATAATGCACATTGGAAAGCCATGCATTCTGCTTTCAACAATTTCTAAAGTAGAAAAAGGTTGCTGAACAACCACCACACAACTTTTCAATTTTTTTTCCAGAAAATCAGTACGTTGGTTGATATACCTGTCTCCAAGCATATGGATATGCATTGCAATTTCTAAGGGTCTTAATATACAGAGAATGAACAAGTTTGCAAATAAAGAATGGCGAGAAATCCTATAAATGCAGTAAAGCAGGCTTTGCTATATATTAAAAGTTAACTATTTGCGAGAAAAGAAGTAGACAAGCTTCTCCTATATTCTCACCTTTGAATTAAAGACCTCAAGACACATATTGAAAGAGTTTGGGGAGACGGTATACATTATCTACTTTATTACTACCACCATTTGACTCAAAGATGCCTCATATAAAATTTAGTTTCCTGGGAAACCTCCACCTTCTTTTTTGGTGTGTTCAAGTAAGTGTCGACACCTGACGATTGTCTAGACAAGTCCCTGAAAGTTTGTTGTAAGATTTCAGAAGTGGTTTGTCCTTGCCTGCTCCCTAGGGCTGAGCCTGGGCCAAGGTTCCCCCAGCTGGCTTCGTGCCTAAGGGGGGATTGAAATTCATAGTCTCATGATTTCTAGCCTGATGCCTTAATCTCCACACCAAACTCTCTCTCTCTCTCAGGGGAAATAGGGACCAGATTATGCTACATCATAATAAAAACAAGTTTTGTTTTCAAACAGTACTTTACCAATAATAAATCCTTCCAAATGTTGCCAAGAAAACTGCAGGGGCTTGTGTCTAGGCACAGTTGCCAGGAGTCAACACTGATATGAAGACACACACACAAAATACTAAATGAAGTAAGGAAGTTCTTCAGAATATGAAACAGAGGAACTATGCACTTTAGCTGACGTATTGCCAGAAAATGACTAGAAACAGCCATTTTGGACATTATGCATTCTTAAGATAGAAATTGATAAAAATATTGAAAGTCTAAGCAAGATAATAGTTGAGACACAAGGCTAAAGGCTTAAAACAAAAACTGTAATGGTTAAATATAATGATATGTTATTATCCAATTTAAGGATGATGCCATGGTAATAGAATTTCAGATAAAGAATTCTGGAATATAATCAGCAGTCTGATGTAGCTACAAAAAGGACAATTCATTTTTTTTAAAATCCTGAATCAACAATTGGTTTCCAAATCAAGATAAGTAACTGCTCCATTTTATTTTGCATTGGTACAGATATCTCCTTATGTCCAATTCTGAATACCATACAAACTGGAACAGGTTCAGAGAAGAGCAAAAAAAATGATCAGGTCCTACAGGGAGAGAATGAAGATTCTGGAAATGTTTAGCCTTGAGAAAATGAGAATGAGAAAGACTATAGTATTAGCTTTCAAATGCATGAAACAACATTACACAGGTTATCTATTGTCACCATGTGCAAGAAGACAGATTCCAAGTGAATGTTGGGAGGAAAAACACTTGGTGATGACAAAAGAAGATTGGTGAGAAAGGGGAATCAACTATCCAAAGAGGTTACGAGTCCAAAAGCTTGGAAGAATAAGTTCTGGTTCCGGTGACCTATTCAGATTGGATCCTCAAATAGGTCCCATGTTAGTGTTTGGCTTTCCAATACCACATCAGGTCAGGAACTTCTCTGGCTTCTCATACTATTATTAAATCCCAAATAAAGGGATCACAAGGAAGTTGTCCCAGAAGTCATGCTACTATCATCATTAATGAGGAATCCTGCCTTTGAGACATTTTGAGAAACTTCCCTGTCATTCAGTTTCTTGGCCCACAAATTTGGTGGGCACTTTTAAAAAGAAATTTGTATCTAATAATCTAGTAAAACTAGTAAAACTAGTAAAACTAGAACTAAATGTCTAGAATTGAGTTCAAAGTATCCCATTGACTTTTCTCACATCAGTAATTTTCCTATTTAAAATGGGAAGAGATATATATGCTGCATGTGCACTTAACAATTGTCTGAGTAATCTCTTCTGAATTGTAGCATTTGTCAAGTATAAGATAGGATATTTAATGATGAATAAGAGTTTTTAATCACTGAACTATATTTCAATATTCCTCAACTGTGCTATAAGACAGCTGTTTTCTAAATGTCATGTATATGCAAATGCTTAATGAACTAGTGCATCTATTATATTATGTATCTGAGATACATTATAGTTACTAGCTTGATGTAATATTTAGCATCCTGATTTTCTTAAGTTTTGTAGCAGCTGGAAGACACTTGTTACAAAGTCTTGGTTGCTTTTAGTAGCCTGGGCAAGTTCCTGACATTGGCACTACTTTTATTTGGCTACATATCAGATAATAATCAAAAGTACCTAGACTTTATTGTACCTAGATACTGAAGGTTCATAATTCTGTTGCAGAATTCTTAGTGGGAATTGGCATAAATGGAACTGGAATGAACTCCATGATATATCTGGAAATGTGCCCCAAATTAGAAAAATGTCATCTTTTTCTCTCAACATGCAAATGAAAACAGTAGTAGGAAGTTGTGTTGGATATGGTTGCTGCTTTTGTAAAAATGTGTAAAAACAATAAAGGCAGAATACAAGCAAGCAAGCAAGTAAACATGAGGCTGAAAGGAGCCAGCTACTTCAAAATCATATAGTTGACCTAACAGGAATCTAAGCTCTCATACCTCTGTTCATGGAAAACAAAAGAAGCCAATTAAGTGTTTTAGAAAAAAATTCGAGGGGCTGGAATGGGGATAAAATCAAAAAGTCAAAAGTTTTGTTTATCTGCCTTTATAGGGAACATACTATTATGAAGAGCAGAGTTTCGTTAAAGATTATATAGATAGGACTACATGAGTGAGAGTTTTTCATGAACATTATTCTTCTGTACACTGTAATCTTTTGCAGTGCTTTAACTTTTTTGCAGTATTTATCATTATATTTATTGTTAACATAAAATAACTGAACTGAATGAATGAATGGGGGATCCACAATTATACATTCAATCTAGCAATATAATAGGGGCAGAATCTTGTTCTTAGAGGTGTTTTTCATCCTGAATAAATTGATATAAAGACTTTAGAGTCAGATCTTTAAAGTTTCAGGAGGCATATTTAATCCAAATAAGCTCTATTTAAAAGTAATTATTTTCTATAACACATGCCTTGTTTGAAGGAGTACCATCTTGAGTAGGTTGAACCATCTGTTTTTATTATGAGATACAATATCTTCTTCTTTAGGTAAAAAAAAGGAAATACTTCTACATTTTCCTTTTTAGTTTGGGACTATGCATAGCACTTAAGTCCAGTGTATTATATCTACAGCATATGCAAGAGGTAATATAGGCCAAAATAAACTTAGTAAATAAAACAAATTGATAGTTTTCCAAACTGGATGTTAAACCACAAATAATAGGGATCATATGGAGCTGGGGATAAGGAGCTCTAACAACACACTGTGTAATAGTTATAAAATGGATGAAGGATATATTAAACTACATTGTATATTCCATCTATATAAATTTCAGGCTTCTATACTGATTTAAAGAAGAAATATTGCTCCCTTTTTGAAGCAGAGATAGACATGGCAATCTTTATGATAGAATCATAGAATTAAAGAGTTGGAAAGAACCTTCTAGGTCAGGGCTGTCAAACTCCCGGCCCACAGGCCGGATGGGTCACACACTGGCTACGCCCATGCCCGGTTTAGCAAAGGGGAAAAAAGTCATGATACATCATGTGATGATGCCATGACGACGCGAGTTTGACACCCCTGTTCTAGGTCATCTCATTTAATGTCCTACTTGTAACAGGAAATACAGCATTACAGTCCTGCCACCAAATGGCTACTTTTGCATGAAGAGCTCTAGTAAAGCAAAACTCATTTTTTCATGTCATTGGCTTAATGGTTCAACTTTGTTCCCTATTAAAGATTTGTCCAAACATTGAACTGAATCTTATTCTTCTGTAACCTAAAACTTAAAGATTTTAAGCCCTGTTCTCCTCCGTCAGAAGAGGAGAGATTGAGAAGGAAAGAGCAGCACTCCAAACTGTTCTTGTCCTCCACAGGCTTCCTGCTTTGAGGAATTAAGACTCAAATTAGCAGCAGCTTCTCTACAGATTGAGAATGTTATGTCCTTAGATACAAAGGAACATAACCTGGAGCAGCAGTTCTGTGATCCGCAGTGAAGAACTGGAAAAAAAAAATCACTGATCTGTTTCTTTTAAATTTTGTGAATTCATTTAATTATGATAAATTGATATAAATACAGGTGTACATTTATTATTATTTTATTTATTGTTTAATATTGTTGAATTTATGTGAATAACTCAGGTTTTGGAACAATGCTCTGTTGTTGTTTATGCCCACTTGTTAAAGAATGATCCAAAACATATTATATAACTTAAAAAAATTCTCTAAATATAAATCACAAGAATAACCTTGTGGTATGGAGGCCTGTAAGTCTTATCAGCAGATAAATAGATCATATTCTGCCAATTTTGACATACATTTTTCAGATGAACAGGACTATTGTGGTGGAATATAGTACAGTTTTATTTATTTTTATGTATTTATTAAATTTATTTGCCACCTGATGGTTCAGATGACTCTGAGTTACAGGAAAGAGGAGGTCTTCCCCAGGGAGCAAAGTGGAGCTCAGCCACTTTAGCATGCAGGAAGAGAGAGTCAGGGCAGATCCTCTCTAACCTTTTATAGAGTATAATCGAATAGTTATGCGGATTTGTGATTCAGTCTGACAAGATTCCTGTCTACAGGTATAAAGAAACTGCTGTGAAGTAACTTTTTATGTTGTTCTTGGTTCCTTCCTCCTAACAATTATCCAACAATATTCTATACAATTATGCAGTGAAAAAAAGTGGTTGCAGAATGCTTTTCAGAAAGTTCTGATATTGCTAAAGATGAAGCAAACAAAAATATTTCCAAATGCAAAAGAAGGTGAAATAAATCTTATATGATAAATTGAAGCAGCTGAAGAAAGCAAGCAAAAGACACCAGATGCAGGCGGAAACCTCCCCAGGTAAAAGCTGAAAACCAGAGAAGTTATATTGAAAAAAGCAATGCAAAGAAACTAAGGATAACAATTGAATGGAAAAGATATCTGAGAAAAATTACAGAAATCAAGAACCTTTATGTTAAGATGGGCACAATTAGAACAAAAAAGGTAAAGATCTTTTGAATAAAGTAGACATAAAGAAGAAATCGTGAAATATATGGAAGTATACAAAATAGATCCAGAAATTGTTCAAATATGAAGATTTGACCACCACACTAAACCCAGATATTCAGAAGCCAGGTATTAAAAAGCAGAACAAAAACACTGTTAACAACAAAAGTGCAGAAATTGATGAAATATCAACAGAACCTTTTAAATATTTTGCATGATAATGTAGTTGGGAGAGCTGTTTGGAGTTTAGAAAAGTGGAAAAAATCAGTACATATTCCAATACCAATAAAAAGGCAGCAGTAAAGAATGTTCAAACTATTAAATAAATAAATACATTTATCTTTTACAGTACCAAGATAGTCTTTAGTATTTTGCAATCCACACTGGAACAATACATAGATTGTGCAAGTTGATTCAGAAGAGGCAGAGATACTTGAATGCATATTATTTCCATTTGACAGATAATGAAAAAAGCAAGAGAGTTCAAGAAGACTTCTTCTTCTTTTTTGCTCTATAGATTGTATTAAGGCTTCTGACTATACAGACACCCAAAAATTGTGGATAGTCCTTAAAAATGTAGGCATTTTTGGTCACTCATTTGCTTATTGAAAAATGTACATAAGGACCAGGAAGCAATAATTAGAACAGATTATAAAGCAACTGAATGAACAACCTAATGGTGACCTAATGGTGAAGACACTTACCACCCACTCAGAAGGTTGAGAGTTCATTCCTAGGTAGCAGCAGATGTTTCTCTGCTAAGCGCAAAGAAAAAATATCTGCTGCAAATGCCACATAGGCATCAGGAAGGACATTTGGCCAGTAAACACTCAGCTCCATCCAGTCTCCCCGACTCTCCCCCGAATTAAGGGACTACAGGGTCATAAAAATTGAGTTTTTTTTAATGAAGCAACTGAATAATGCATATTGGAAAAAGTTTGCCTATAGTATGCATTGTCACCTTATTTATTTAACTTAAATGCACCATATAACATAATAAATGTTGGACAGGAAGAAATATAAATTCAAATAAAAATTGCTGGGAAAAACCTCAAAAAGTTCAGAGATGCTAATGACATTATTTGGATGAAAACAGGGAAGAGTTGAGGAATTTCTTGTTGATTCTGCTGCTCAGTATTAAAATGAAAAAAAAATGTTCTGAAGAGGCAATTCCAACAACATTCAAATAGGTGAAAGAAAAATTTGCTGGTTGGTTCTTCTGATTTAGAGCTTTAATTTAGATGCTCAAGTTGACCTAAATGGCTCTCTCTTTTCCTATTCTTTCTCGAAAGCAACAATTGTATCAGATGCTAATCTCTTCCATTTCTAGTCACAAACCTTAACCAATGAATGGATCCTATCTTCCCGGACACAAAATGTTGATAACTATAGACATGAAAAGATACATCTGATACTTCAGAGGAGGACTATTAAATATAGTTAAATATTTTAGCCACATAATCCAAGGGTAGTGGTCATTGGGGAAGGCATTGATGCTTGGAAAAATCAAAGGCAATCATAGAAGAGGTTGACAGAAAATAAAGAGGTTAGATTATTTCATTAATGAAATAAGCATTGGCTTATTAAAAACTCAATTTTGATAGACAGTCCTGGCAAAAGAATACCCACTGGGTCATGAAGAGATGAATAAAATTAAATGACTGAACAAAATCAAAACTTTTAATATAAAACCAACCTAAGCTTTCTGTATTTATGAAAATGCCAGTCAGCCAGAAAATAGATCATATAGAAAAGGTATAGCTGAAAAAAACCCTTCAAATTGCTGAGGGCTACAGTAACTGTTATCTCCAATTCCACCCCTCATGATGTTTAAAATCCAGTATGAAAATGAAATTTTATGAGCTTGAAAGCTTTCTCATGGTTTTGGAACATTTTATTTGAAAATGTATGTGAAAATGGCTGCCCCCTCAATTCAATTCCAATTAGAATTCTAATTACTAACTAATTCTAATTAGCTAGTTATAATTTTAATGGAAAATAGGCCAATGGTGTAATATTACTAAACCAGAGATAAGGAAAAAGATAAAATTCAGCTTTTCTCACTGATTACTTACTGGTTGATCTGCCCTATTGATTCCAATAAGGAAGAGAAGTTCTGCCACAAACAAGCTGATGCACAAGTTCTTATGGATAGTGTTTCTGTCACTTTGGAGTCCGCGGAAGAAGCAGAAAGTAAAAATGCAGATCAGGAGGCAGACAAGGGACAGAAGAATGCCGACCCAAGTGATGACATCCAGGATCAGATCATGGACTGCATCTCCATGCTGCAAATAATTAAAAAAAAATATTCATCAATTATATATTGACTCTCAAAATCTAAGAAAGCTCAGTCTAATTGAGACACTTTGACAGACTCCATCTTTCTTTCACAAATGTATAGTGTGCATATTAACATAATTGCAGATTATGTTAATTGTTTGCCCGCGTTTCCACCTCATTTGTTTTGTTTAAAAATTAGTATCCTGAAGAGCATCATCTGAGTTTTGAACTCAGCTATACAAAGACAATGAACATAAATTTTTATTTTATTTTATTTTATTTTTTTATTGTTTAAATTTATATACCACCCTTCTCCCGAAGAACTCAGGGTGGTGAACAGCCAAAGATAAAAATACATAGAATACAAAATTTAAAAATAGTTTAAAACAAATTAAATAGTATTGGCCCACGACAATTAAAACACCCCCAATTTAAAATCAAATTAAGAACTAAATTACTCAATTAAAAGAGTTAGGCCAGCCTGGCTTGTTGGAATAGAAAGGTCTCGAGGGCGCAGCAGAAGGTGCGTAGATCTGCGTAATGTGCGTAAATGACACATATTATAGATTAATAGCATTAATTTAGTAATATAGATCAATCTAAGCTGCAGCTTGAGACTTAAAGCGAGGTTCTTTGCTTTGGCAAATTTTTAAATAAAAAAAGCTGCTTCAAAAACAAAGCAACCATGTTGCTTCACATCAGACTGTTTTGAACTCTCCTTAGACTTCACCTACGTTGCTTGCACTATGGGAGAAAACAAAAGGAAGCCTTTTTTGGAAAGTAGTGCAGGAGAAGTCTGAGAGGAATTTTTGCTGAAAGTTTCTGAGGGTGCAACACCTTCGGTATGTTCTGAAGGTCTGCTAGATGGACAACTTTGGTCTGTGAGATCCTGAAGTTATCTGGCCTGGAATACTTTCAGCCAGGGCTGCAGGGGAATGCTGAGAGGGTCCTTCTCCCACTGAATCTGGTCTGAAGTACCTAACATTATCTGAGTTATTTCAAAGAAGTAAAGCAGGTTACATCTTCATTTTAGTAAAGAAAACTGCATAATCTCCAAGGCAAGAATTGTTTAAATGAAATGAATCTAAATCACTTTGCACAGGCCAATTATAGATCAATATGATATTGGCCCTTAATTAGTTTTGCTTCATGGATCTCTATGAGGTTTCTGATTATTCACTGATTATTTTAATAAATCATATTTTTTAATTCTCTGCCTGCAATATTGATGGATCCCGCTGAGATTCTGCCTGAATTGGGGTAGGTTATAAATATAGTTAAATAAATGAATAAATGAAATAAAATATTTAGAGAGAATAATGATTGCATTTTTCATCCTTTCATATTGGCAATGTTTTAAAAGTATGGTGGTTCATTTCAAGAAGACAAAAGCCATCAATAATAAACATCAAAATGAATTCCCACTTTTAAAACTATTATAGTATAGATTAAATACTATAATAGTATATATAGGAATGATTTAACTATTATAGTATTAGAATATTAAGAAGGCAAAACTAGAAATTCTCAAAATGTAAATTTTAACATAATTATTTGATATTTTGCATTTGATTTCCACCTGACTGTTTACATTATTTTCCTCTGTAGTTACGTGTACTGCAAATCAAGGTTATGCATCTAATGAAGTTTCCAAGGATGGAAGGAAAACTTATTCACCTTTCTCTTTGCTTTAAAAAACTATTTATCTCAAAAGAATCTATACTTCAGGTTTCCTGTAATAGAAATACATTACATGTTGAAATAGAAATCTGTATCTTGATAGTCTAACTTTATATATTAGTAAGACAATACAGCAGCCATATGTAGATTGAGTAAGCTTCCCCTCAGCATGAAATCCCTCCATAAGTTTGAATTGAAACAGATGTTGAATGAGTTCAATTAAATTAACTACAATGTTTTCCTTCTCTAGTATTCAAAGCAGCCACTTGCCTATCTGCAGGCATAGATACATTTTCATTCCAGCCATAATTTGGTGTTCATGTCTTTGAAATATCATTAGAACTTGATTCAGCTTAATAAAATGTGTTTTTCTTCTTAATACGCATAACTTGCTCACATTCCATAGTATATAATAGGACTGCATGAGGAATTTGTTTAGAAGGGCCCTTCCCAGAGATGCTGGCACAATTATTTTATTGTTCATCTTAGATAGAACAGTTGATTTAATTGTCAGCTCAATGGCAAGCCAGAGTGAATAATATCTTTGTTTGTTTTTTTTTGTCTTTAGTTCATATACCTTCTGGATTTAACAGAGAAGCCTTGTTTTGTATTCCAACTGAATCTGTCTCTATCAATTAACTGGCTGCATCAACATTTTGAGGGATTCAGCAGTGGTAGAGACCAAAGATAGTGAACACTTTAGCTCCTTCAATTTAGAGATAATCACTATTTATTCTTTCTGCAGGAGAGCTTTATAGAAATTAATTCATCTTTCTTTCTCTGTCTCATTTGTCATCTGTTTCTTTGTGTAATGAAAGTTTGATTATTAAAATTGCCCTTGAAGAGGTTGGGAAATATAGGAGTAGCACTTTTTAATCATGGTAATACATCTGTAATACAATCAATCCAGTAGCACCTAAACTATCAGTGCCATCTCACTGGCACAAGGGGGCAGATACAATCTGAGTATAGCATACATCAAAGGCAGGCAGAGGGGTAGGAAGCAATGGAAGCACATGAAAACATGCATGTGCTACTCTGACTTGTGAGACTGATAAGTAATCTTGTGGCAAAATCTCTCCTCATAGTCATCAGCCTTAGATTTGTTAGACATCCTACCCATGTACGAGGTCAACATCCATATATGTATAGATCAAGCACTTCCTTAGTCTTAGGAAATCCTGATAGCATCACTGATTCTAGGACATATCCATAAGGGATCTTTGGCCCCAAACAGACAATTATTCTACAAGCCGAACAGCAAACCTATGGGATAAGAGTCACCATCAGAGGGTTTATATCCTTTCCTAATATTTCAACTAGCATGTACTTACACACTTAGATAATACAATTCTTGAAAGATGCCATTTCATCAGTATTGAATGAAATGGCACCTGTATTCCTTCTTGTTGTACACCAAGAACAAAGAATCTTGGACAATGCAAAGTTAATTTTAAAGAAAAAAAAAGAAATTTAAAAAAGAATATGACTTGAGATAATTTAATATATAAACCATATAAAGTAGATTTATACCAAGGAGAATTTTGCAAATTATATAAACACAAAACATGAACCTCATTTCTGGCAGACAGCAAATTTATAATACTAATACACCTTTTCAGATAACCACTTTTGATTGAAAGCTGGATTTTAATACATAACTAGAAAATGGATGGAAATATCACAGTGATCAAGTATTATAGTGGAAATGATGTCCAGACGCCCACAAAGAGAATCAATGAACTCAAAACAGCAGAAATACTCCTCCAGCAGACAATTGCTTCACCACACACACAATATACTAGGTAATATCACAACTACCATTCATTCACTCCATTAGCATAAGCAGCAATTATCCTATTATAATTATTTTTGCTAGTAAAACAGCTCTGTCAGTGTAATGTTACTGGTTCGATTTCAATTTATATGCCGCTCTTCTCCAGAGACTCAGGGCAGCTTACAATGCGTTAAGCAATAGCCTTCCTACTTTTGTATATACCTGCTTAGTAGGGCTTTCGGCCCTCCCTAAGCGGTGTTCTTTTTAATACAAAGTCAGCTTATTGCCGCCACAATCCGGGTCCTCATTTTACCTACCTCGGAAGGATGGAAGGCTGAGTCAACCTTGAGCCTGGTGAGATTTGAACTCGCAGTAATTGCAGACAGCTGGCAGCTAAGTGCTACTTAACAGCACTTTAGTCCACTGCACCACCAAGGCTCTTCTAAATGTTCTGCTTTGTAACTGAGGTATTGCTCAAGTATGGGTCATAAATGTAATAGTGTCTTCCATTGGCATAGGATGGCTTCCACCAAATCCTAAGGTGAAATCCTTCTGGTGAATTTTGAGTATACCTTGCCTTATTCCCTTGAACATTTTAAAGTCAATATTAAAGTCATTTAATTGAATATTAAGATTCAATATGTTAAACATATCTTCCAGGCAAACAATCTGTACAAAAATATCCAGAATCAGCATTAGACTGAAATGTAGTCTTTCCTATGGAATCCAAGTTTTAGCTGTTAATCATGTAACACAAAAAATCTGGTGGCACCTTTTATAAGCCATTTTATTGAAAGTCGCAAACTTTTGGGAGCTACACCTCTGAGCTCATGAAAGCTTATGGTTTTCAGACTAATGCATTCTATTAGATTCCTTATGATTTTTTGTTACTATAGATTACCATGGTTCTTCTCCTACAAATTCTATTAATCATAAAAGAAAATGAAAATGAATGTTTTGAATAGCATAGTGATAGATCAAATGGGAGAGGAAATAAAAAAGGAAGAAACAAAGGAAGGAAAGAAGGAAACGGTTTTTTAAAAATGTAACTTATATCCCCCCCCTTTTTTTCTTATTAGTCACATCACACATCAGGTCATGATATCACTCACCCAGTGTGTTGGAGTCCTCTAGATTCTCTTCAAACTTTAATCTCAGTTCATTTCCTGACACCTTTCTTAAATTAACAATTATATCCCTGATATTGATTTCTACAATAGTTGCTCCAAATGAATTCATTCCAAATGGCTGTGGCTAAGAAGTAACTAAGAGAGGTTAAATGGGAGGGCTCTAGAAAAAAATCCCCTTAAACTGATACTATGTACTAGATTAATAGGAGAGGTTGAGAAAGGAGTAAGAATAAATGATCACAACGCAGATGGTTGGGCTTGATTACCAAATGTTTCATTCAATGTTATAACTCTATGAAATAAGCAAAACCTCTTACTGGAAGATGTAACTTGCAATGTTTATGGCAAGTTTACATTCCTAATTTGGTATATATTTAGAACAACTATAAATCTATAACATTGCTTCAAGGAAAGGTTT